GAGGGGGGAGCTCTAGTACCTTCTCAAATATAGAAGCTGTGTTTTGAATATTACCAAATATTACCTAAAATTACCGTAATTTACGGTAACTTACGGTAAATTACCGAGAAATTTTATATTACTGGTAATTTTAAATCCCTAGACGTGGGCGTCGGCCGCTCTCACAAGGGAACCTTTTCAGGTGTAAATCTCCGATTTCGTTGGTACTCAGAAAATTGACAGGTTTTTATAATAGAAGTCGGATGGCACTTGAAATTTTTCCCAAGCTTAACATTTACTAGGGTTTTACTTAAGCCTGACACTGTTTTTTGCTCCAAATATCCCTCTACCGCTTTAACGGTTCAAAATAGAGCAAAACGGACAAAATTTTGGTCCGAAGGCACTACTTGGAACACTGCTTTACATTTTACAAAAAATATTTTTTTTTCCAGCACCTTCTACCTTATATAGGGGAAAACAAAATGTCAGGTTTAGGAAAAATTTCAAGTGTCATCCGATTTCTACATAAATAAACTTTATGTAGAAGACAGGCGCAGCGAAGCGAAGCTGGCAACTTCGTTTGGCGGAAGGGCGGGCCTGCTTGTTATGACGCTTTCCGTGCGCACAGCACAGACCGGCCCTGTTGGTATGTTCTAATGTCATAAAGGCAACAAACATCCGCGGAAGGACAACACATTTATTAGCGATTACCGGACGGTTACACGCCGAACGGCGCAACGGCCGCCACGAGAAGTGCCGGTGCCTCTAGCACGGGTCCCAGCAGCTATGTCCGCGGGCACAACTGGACGAGCAGACCATGCGAGGATGAGGGTCAGGTCAATACGCACACACGAACAAACAGCAGAGCGAGGTACGGACCTCGCGCACAATACATACCTCCGACAGAGCAGCTTTTTTAAAGAAAAACGAGGGGCAACATCGACCCCCCCCCCAAAAAAAATCTGATTTTTTTTTCTGAGGTTCGTATTATGCCCCTAGACAACATATCCAAGTTTGAACCCGATCGGACATCCCTACGTGAAACGGCAAGAGGCGCAAGTTTCGCCTGACACTTTTTGCTTGTTTTCGTGTAAAAACGAAAAATCTCATTAAATCTCGCCCCTGGCAAGCTCTGGTCAAAGGCAAAGTGGTTCCCAAAGTAAAACGAGCTGGGGAATCCGAATCAACCATCGGTTTTACGACCAGGTGAAGTTTAGGGGTCGATATTGGGTAAAATACACCATTTGCAGAGAAATACCCAAATCTTGGGGTTTCTGTGTTCTTCAACGTACTTTTTTTTTTATCACCGCCAAATTGTAGGGAAAGGACCAAAGTAACGTGTGTTGGCCATGGTAACCGTCTTACGCTGCCCCTGGGGTCTCCAGGGGCAGAAAATAGCAAAAATGGTCATTTTTGGACGAAACTGACTCCGCGCGCGGCGCGGGTCGCTGGTAATGGCCATTTCTCACATCAGTAGCACATTTTTCGAGGACGTGCTCCTATCGCAACATAAGCCCGCGGTTTGACGCGTATGTGGTGCTTTCGTTTGTGCGATTTGAGGCAACGGTTGCGGAGTTAGCGTAGCCTGCGTGCTGGCGCCTGTGCGTAGGCAACCAGTTTCGCTCACGTGCACGGCGGGTTGGTCTATCCTGGGGTCTCAGGCGCTCCCTTCCCCCTCCCAAGGTGAGTGTGAGTGGGTGCAGATCTCCACTGGAGTCCTATTAGGCCAGAGGCCACAGGCCACCACCCCAGTTTAGGTTCCATAAAGTGCTGATATGCAGAGGACTCAAGTGAATGATAAAAATTGTACGCTAATTCATTTG